GGAAGAGTTAAGGGAAAACGTGTATGCATGAAAAATTAAAAATTTCATTATTTAAGTAAATTATTTAAAATTAATATGAGTGGAAAAATAAATTGTATTTATATTAGGTGCCAAACGAATACAATTAATATGGCTTATTATTTTTAATTTTGAACTGAAATTTATCATTAAATCTTGTAATATAGTTAGTTCTGCATAGTTTTTCCCCCCTCATGGTAAACTAATTCGTAAATTGAACTGTCATTTAAAATTTTAAAAAAAAAAAAAAATTGTTCCATGTGAGGTAATGTCATTTCTAATAAATATGGCATTGCTATATTTTAAATTACAAGTGTAATTTTTCTTTAAGGTTATGCAGTTGTGTGTAATGTAATTAGACAGGTGCTTATATTTTTCCTTAAAATGTGCTTGAAAAGTGCTTATAGGTGCTTATTTTTTTAACTAAAATGTGGCTACGAACCCTGCCTTGTGGAAGCTGATTTTGCATATGTGCGTTATCTTCTTTGTCTCCATTTAATTTTTCCAACGTGAGAATTTTGATTATATGTAGTATACAATAAATTTATAAAAGCAGTGGTACCTTTCAGTTATTGGTGCACCACTTGGCACGATACGTAAAATGCTACTGCAAAATCAAATTAGAGATATAAATGGCAACCCTAATTATATGTACTTGCATGGAAGAAAGGACTGTTTTATTAAACCAAAAATAAATACTAGAACAATGACAAATCAAAAATTCACGAAGGAGAGTGCATGTAATTATTCTAACTGACAGTTGTACAATGACTCATGCCTAGTTACTGTTGAGAAAATTTTCTCAACATGAGCTCTCAACATAAGTAATAAACCAAAAGTCAGAAAAAGAATATGCAGTTCTTTGAAATAGCATTTTGTAAGTCTGTCGTGTCATGGCAAAATAACAGTACCTCAACTATAGTAAAATATGGTTTCATTTTCCAGTTTTCATAACATTTGAACTAAAGCCTTTCAGACTGGATTACACTTTTGTTTTGAAAGAACTTGATCATAAATGTTCACCTTAAAAATCTCAGAAGAGAATTGGTGGATCCTTATTCATTCTTCCTGTTTATCCATAGTAATATTTAACACTGCTGCATAGTTACTCATGAGCTGAAATGAAGAGGTTATCACATTTTGGCATGCTATCAATTGAAGATCTGATCCAAAAGATCTCTACTAATATAATATATTTCTGAATATTTATGTATTCGCACTACTATTTTGGTGTTTTTTTGGAGAACACAAAGAATGATAACTTGTAATAAATGGTTTTTATGCAGATATGCACATATATAATTTATATACATCAAAAACTACTTATAAGCAGATTTTTATTATGGCGGAAATTTCATGGAAAATCTCTTAAATTTTCTTTAAAATGCATTTTTTTATGACATATTATATTTAATAGGCTAATCTATGAAGCTATAAGTAAAGTGTTTGCAGTTTCAGAAATACTACTCACGTATAAGTGAAAAAGACCTTAAGCAGCCAGATTTTTAGAATGTATCAAACTCTAGCAGCAGTTTTAATGAAAAAGGTCACCATTTTTATACCTATTCATCTTGTTGTTTACCAAGTTCATATGCAGTATTTTCATGCAAATTGCCTTGAAACTATTCTTAAAGGCAATTCACATGAAAATACTGTATTCCTGCAGAAATTTTTCAGTTTCTTTCATTGCAAGAACATCCCAGAAACACATATTTTACAATTGAGTTTAAAAAAAATAAACAAAAACTAGAAAAATAAGGTCACCATTGTCTATAAATATTATGAGGACTTGGTGTACAACATAATAGGTACAAAATTGGTTACATTATTTGTTTAAACTGTAGAACTGTTGCGCACATTTTTGCCAGAGTTTGATGCATTTTGAAAATTTGGCAGCTTCAACATGAGGTTTTTTTTACTTATATGTATTATTTCTTAAACAGCAAACACTTTATTTACTGCTTCATAGAAATCCTATTAAATATAATATGTCATAGGAAAACATGCATTTTGGCTTGAAAATTTTTAACTGCTCTTCAAAATTATTTCCTACTCACCCATCTTAGAGATACTATATAGCAGGGGTGGCCAAAGTGCGGCTCGCGAGCCTGATATGACTCTCGCAGGCAATTTGTGCGGCTCGTGGATATAAAATATATGTATGAAATATGGTAAACTAACTGTTCTGTGTCCAAAAAGAAGTAATTAATTAGTTTTAGACTCTTTTTACAACGTTATCAGGGATTTCTTTCTATTTAAAACCTCTTCCACTGCTTCTATAATGATGTAAATATGAACTTGTAGGCTTTTAGAAAAATCCAGATGCGGCTCTCGAACATTCCCGAATTCAAATGTGCGGCTGTTATTGACATGAAGTTTGGCCGACCCTGCTACATAGTATTAATTTAGAAGTCAAACAACAAAAATCAGCATTGTATTTGCAAATTTTCACAGAACTAGTTTCGATGCTTTTATCAGACCATCACCCTCAGCTGCCAAAGTGCAAACGAACGAGATAAGATATAGTAATTAGATAGGTAAGAATGGCTTGACAGCAGTTAAGCTACTGGCATAATGTATTGATGAAATGAGAACTAAAACATAATTTCCTTAAAGACTGAAGGCCAAGATGGATTGGAATTAGGAGCGTTGAAGAGAAAAATTTTTTTGAATGTGAAATGCCTCTAGAAAATCTAATTCACCAGTGGAAGATGTTTTTTGAATAAAGAGCGTGCTCTTCCCAAAATTCATCAAAGTGATATTTCTTTCTGCTCTATTTGTATGAAATTTAGGCTCTACCTCGTATCTGTTAACTAAATATTTAGTTTCTAGATTTTCCACTCTATGGATAATAACATTTACACCATAAAAAATTCAATAATGTTTGTAAAAAAAGTTAAAAGCATTTCTCCTAGAAATTTACTCATCATTTCTTTTGATGTAAAATCATTATTCCCCAATGTTCCAGTGGAGGGTGCATTAAGATATCTAGAAACCAGACTCATGAATTGCATTTTTCTTGCATCGAAATTGATGAGCTAATTTACCTCACTAAACTCTGTTTGAAACAAGCACATTTTGTTTCCCAAAATAAGTATTACAAGCAAACTGAGGGATTAGTTATGGGAAGCCCCCTCAGTCCCATCCTGGCTGATACCTACGTGCATTATTATGAATCAAAATTATTTGAAACTTTAAACTTCGCAGTATAGTTCAGCTACATTGACAATACTTTTACCCTGTTTGACGGTAATAAAGATGATTTAAGCAAAGTTCTTTCAACAATGAATTCCATTGATCCTGCTGTTCAGTTCACTTTTGAACTTGAGACGTGCAATTCTCTTCCGTTCCTCGACATTTTGGTAACACGTAACACATCCAACTTCAGTACCACAGTTTACCATAAACCTTCATCAATTTGCCTTCTACACATTTCAAATATCATCCGATTAAACAAAAGTTAGCTCTATTTTATTCCTGTTTTTCCCTTGCACTTCAAGTTTGCTTCTCCAAATTTTCTCTTGATCAAGAACTAAATTATTTAAAAGCAGTAGCTATTGACAGGGACTTTTCACCCAATATTATTAATCAAGCAGCTAAAAAATTCTCATCTCAACACACCAAAAAGCACACATTTGTTTTGGGAAATTATAAGAATTCTGTTGTCATTTCTTTCTTTCCATCAATTAGCAATAAAATTGCACGTATTTTACAGAAATTTAACTTTTGGGTCATATATTCTCATATCAATAAATTACGAGTTCCATACTCGATGAACCCATTCTGAATATGAATTTCTGGTATATTTACAGGATTCCTTGTCAGTATGGTATAATTTACATTGTTCAAAATTAGAGAGTCTTAAAATTTTGCATTAAGGAACCTGAGGCATATGGTAGAAAAATGGAAACACAAAAGTCTTCTGTTGCCCAGCATTGTTGGTCCTAAAATCAATCTTTCAATTTTTCTGCAGCCAAAATTATTCAAAAAGCATCTTGCATTGATGAATTAGATTTTCTAGGGGCATTTCACATTCAAAACAATCTTTTTGTTCTAGTTAACGACCGTAATTCCAATACATCTTTGCCTTCAGCCTTTAAGGAAATTATGCTTTAGTTTGCATTTCATAAATAGATGGTGGCAGTAGCTTAACTCCTGTCCAGCCATTATTATCTTATCTTACCTATTCACTATATCTTATCTCGTTCATTTGTGCTTTGGCAGCTGAGGATGATGGTTCGGTAAAACCATCGAAACTAGTCCTGTGAAAATTTGCAAATATAATACTGGTTTTTATTGTTTGACTTCTAAATTAATACTTGTTTGGCATGCTTTTTTATCTTAATTGTATGTATATTGCTCTTATGTGCTACATCAGCACATACTTTAAATGAAAAGTTGTGTTGCATTTCATTAAAACAATTAATGATTTTATTATTTGATAAAATATTAAAATATTCTTCTTGGTAAGTTTCACCTTTTTTTTTTTTTTTTTTTTTTTCTATTTTTAACTGCAAAAATTATTTTCAATAAATTAGTGAACTAAAAATAATACTTAAATCTATATATTGTATGGATTCATTAAAACCAGCATCTAAATAAAAGAGTTGACAGTAATATGCTGTAATAACTATCCTTCATTTCTGAAGCAATGAAAGGTCTTTATTACAGTTGTATTAATTTTTATACCTCCTGTAGGAAGTATCTTTTACTCAAAGCTGAGCCTTATTTCTAAGAGATAAAAAAATTGTCTTGAATATGGAATATACAATGTTTATATTAAAATTGGCTTAAAAAGGCCTAAAAAATGTTGATATTTGTGTTAAAAATGTCAGTGTTCATTGTTAAGCCATCTTTTTTTTTTTTTTTTTTTTTTTTTTTTTTGTTTTGTTTTGTTTTGTTTGTTTGTTCACTGTTGTTTTAACAAACTGTGTTTGTATGAAATGTAATTAGAACTTTACCTTTTAATTTGTATACTTTAGAAAAAAACTGCTAAAGATGGAAATATGAAAAATGCTAGAACAATCAAGAAAAATTTTCATGAAAAGTAAGTTATTTGATCTCAATTTAGTTTGTGACCCAAAGTTTTATTTATTTATTTATTTATTTATTTTCATTTTTACTTAGCAAATGCTATTAAAAAAGTATTTGGCACTTTCTGGTTGTCAACACTTCTTTCAATTTGCGAGGGCCCGCAGATAGCCAAGAGGTAAACTTGGCATAGGATTGCAAAACACTGGTAGTACGTTCTGGGGCTCGAATCCTTGAGAATTGGCTGGCTGCATGGCGTTTTTTAAGTTTTAAGAAGGATTTTTAAGTTCAGAATTGAATTCTTCAAATTTTTCTGAAGCAGAAACACTTTGATTAGGATCGATAAGAAAGAATTGATAAGAAACACTGGATCTTCCCACCACAGTACATAACATAAAAGTTTATCCGGTTCCTTTCCTTGGGAAAGTAGATCTGCACTTTTTTCTTCAGATACTGCATGCAGGATTCGTACGGTCCTTAAAAGTCCTTAATTTCGGCCAAGTCCTTAATTTTAATCATCTGAAATTTCTGTCTTGTTTTTATGACTGTTGTTTTGAGTGTGAATTATCATTATGGAGGAATATTTTTGGCAATTCACTGACAAATATAATTATCTTTTGAATGGGTTCATGAGTTATCATTTGTTGCTATTTCTAATGTAAAAGGCGGGATACTGGAGTTTATGAGCAAAAAGTCAAACAAAAGCATTTCAAAATTATTTCATTTTTTTAAATGAAGAGCATTTAAACAACTTTCTGCTTTTGAGGATGTGAATTCTTTTATTAAATGGCTCTAAATTTGGTGACTTATCAAAATTTTGGAGATATTAAGACAAATTTCTTTAGAAAATTTTTTATTCGGATATCTGGGAGTTTTTCGACGATTTTTTTGGAAACATTATAACATGGATAAATTTAACTAAAATAATGGTAATATATTTAAATTACATTTAAGAAATAAAATTAAAATAAAACATTTTTATTTTCTTTTGCTGTCATATTATAAAGTGGCATCACTTTCCATTTTGGCAACTTATTATATAGTATTTTGAATCTAAAAAATAAACAAGGTAATAAATGCTATAAAGCACAGTTTACAAAACAATTCATAGCAAAAGTAAAATAGCTATATAATTAATTAAATATTTCTTCCTTTTTAATTTTTTCATGGTAAGAATTTTTCCCGTGTAATTGTCTCAGAATATTCAGAATTTTCAGAATATGTGTTAGTTTTCTCTATAAAACAAATTTTACATTTTTTCCACTTTCTTTTTCAAATATTTCTAGCCCTTTTCCTCTTACAGAATTGGTAGGACTAATTTTTCTTTAGGATTTCACGCATTGCTACTTGGAAAGTTTAGACGGATTTGAAGGCAGGATTTACAGACCCACAATTCTAGAGGGCTCCAGAAAAAATTGACAAAATGAAAATTTCTTCATTGTATTAACACATAATGGATGTATTTTGCAGAAAGTTGGTGATGAATTTCTTACATTTTGGGGAATTTTCGAAAGGACAATGAAAACATAATATTTGAATGTTGTACTTTTGATACTAGAATTTATATTCAAAAATTACATTTAGTTTGTATTATATATGCTTATATTAAAAGTTTTTCATCAAAAGTCTATTGATTTTATTTTTAAAAAATGCTTTTTTGACCTTTCAGAATTTAACAACTGTCCTAATATTATTACAGAGGTGATTGTTCTGCAATTATATATATTTTTATACAATAGATATAGCTGCTCCACCATTGCCATTTTGTAAACAATAACATTCCAGAATTTATTTATAATATGTTTTAAAACAGTCTGTCATTCATGATATAATTTTATCATAGTTAATGGTGGAAAAAATCCAATGTTTATAAGTTTAAACATTATATTGAAAAGTTTATGAAGTTCATTTCTGATTCTGTTTATTACTTAGATGGAATGTATTGTACATCTAGAATGTATTGCAGTTTAAGTCTTTGATTTCTTTTTTAGATGTATGTTTTTATATATGTAAAATTAATTTTTAAGTACACTTTAAATCAAATATTTTTGTGCTGACATTTTATTTATAAATGTATTTTAGTGTCAGTGCCAGCAAATATTTCAAATGCACTAACACTCATTCCTGGTGTTACCTACTCTTTTCATGCAGTTAAAAAAAGAATTTATTTGGACTTCTAATTTTGTGATAGAATTCATTGCTGTAGCGAATGGTAGTTTAGTATGGAAATACTATATAGCAAGTTTTCTTAGTTTGGCAAAAACTTAATTTGAAATTTATTGAGAACAACTCCTGTTATAGGTATAATGGTAATACTTTGGGGGTACAGCCAAATTTTTCATTACAATTCACATGTTTTTGTGTTTTCAAGTGATACCATAATTAATTTACTCTCAGCACAGCCAGTGAGCACTACACTTCTAACCTAGAATTTTCTTAAAACCCACCTAGAAATTCTAGAAAAATAAGGGAATTTTATTCTCTTATTTAATTGGCAAACCTGTGTATGGGGGAATGTAAAAAGATGGCAGCACTAGATGCATAACTGAAATAAATATAAAGATATCCAAACAAATGTTTCTCTCCAGAGTTGGCAATTAGTTTGGGAATGCTCTCCAAAGTCAACCATGAGTTTTTGACTTTTTGTTAAGGATGCAGATAATAAAAAAATACCAGTATTTTATGTTGGATTAGTTATTATATGTGTTAATATTTGTTTGGATGGCACTAGATTGCTAAATTTTATGCTATGTATTAAACGGCACTAGATTGCACTAGATTGCTAAATTTTATGCTATGTATTGAACGGCAATTTTGAAAAGTAAATAAAATTTATCTCTTCTATAATACAGCCACCCAAAAATTCTTTAAAAATAATTCTGGTGTCTATAGAGGGCAAAATTTTAACTGATTAACTAATTATTTGTTCCTTGATGATGAATGTCATCTTTAAAAATATTTTAATGCTTTCATAATATTTTCTTCATATTCATTGAATCTTGTACCCTTTCTAAAATTTTTGGGAAAATCGAATCAAAAATGGAGTTGCGTGTCTTGCACTTTTATTCATTCAATCAATCATGATTATTTTAAAGGTTATATTCCTTTAAAGACTGATAAGAGTGTATTTTTAGTTACAAAAATAATTTTAAACTTTATTTTCAGTAAGTCATTTTCTGTTGGAGAAGGAAAAATCTTGTTTGCAAATGATATTTGCATGAGTATTTTGCACTATTGTATTTTATGTTCAGCTTTTCTGTTTATTCAATAATCAATTACTTTTGTAGATTTTCTGTTAAACCTAATACGAGAAATGTTCAGCAGTCTGATCAGCAAAATTCGAAAATGAAAGTGAAGATAAAGGATGAAAATGTACCTTCACCTGTTTTGAAAACAAAGCCTGTTTTTTCAAGAAATAAACAAATAACTGTTAAAAAAAGTATAGAGCCTACATCTGACTATAAGCAAAGTCTGAACATTAAGATGAAGGCAAAAGATGAAAATTTACCTCCTCGAGTTACAGCAAAGTCTGCTTTTTCAAGAAAGAAACAAATAGCTATGAAAAGTAGTATAAAACCTACATCTGACTGTAAACAAAGTCTGAAAATTAAAGTGAAGATTAAAGATGAAAATTTGCCTCCACCTGTTTTGACAACAGAGCCTGCTGTTTCAAAAACTGAACAAATAATTATAAAAAATAACATACCACCTAGATCTGATTGCAAAGTAGCGGAAACTATTGAAAAACCAAAGCACCTTGCATTACGTAAGTGTCGCTTCATAAATCTTTCTTAAGCTTTAATGCTTAATGTTTGCTTGCATTTATTTTTATTTAATGGCTAGGGTCTATTTTTATTGTTGTCTATCACTTTTGTAGAAGTGAATTGAAAAGATCATAAGATGAAAAAAAAATCTGTTGATATATTGTTAGTTGCATAATAACTGATTCTGAGAGATTGTGTGTATTTATGTAAAGATGTAAAGTATTTATGTAAAGTTTTGAGAGCATGAATTCTAAGGATTATGTCTTAACATTCTTTAACTGCAAATATCTGATTAAAAATTAGTTATTTTATTGTTTGGAATTGTAAATGTGTTTTTATAGGTGATTTATTAAAAATTACTTATTTCATTTTATTTTTAGATAATTTGCATATATCTTTTATTTATTCTTCCATTCCTGTAATCATCACAAAATGATTACTTCTAAATATTGTTTTTATATTCAGTCAGTATTGATCGCCCTTTAGTGATCTGCATCAAATACTAAGATCAATAAAATATATATAACAAAATTATAGAGCTATTCTAAAGCTTACTTAAATCAAACACTGTAATGAAGTAAATATGAAATCAAAATAAATTCTAGAAAGCTTTTGTAGCATATCGCATAAAAATCTTGACTAAATTCAATAATGCTAACAAATATTATATAATTCAATTGGTATATTGTCCCAAAATGATGGAAACCTTAAGTAAGGTATCTATATTATGTGATTTTGTTGTCATTTGCAGGAGATCCCTTTGTTAAATGCAATTTTCCCACAACAATCAATGTTCTATGATTGTATTCAGATATCAGTACTTTTATATAAAAGCCATTTCATGCTTTATCAGCATATTTACCCCACATGCTCTAGCTCAATATTAGATGAAAGAGAGCAATTGGAAACATTTTCTAATTTCATGTTAAAATCCTCCAAAAATCCACTGTGTACAAAAACCATGGCTTACTCTTTTTTCTTTTTTGGTAAATAACCTTTTATCAGTTTTCATAGTTTTGTAGCATATATCATAGCAAATGAGATAACAAGGAATAAGCATGTCTCTCTCTCATGTATTTATTCCAATCAACTGTACTGTTTGTAATTAATCTGAAGCAAGCTTCAATTTGTAAAACTCAATAAATGTTAAGTCCTGATACCATAATTAAACAAATTGACAGTGAACAACAAACTTCTTTTGTATTCTGACACTTTTTTCTTCAGGGCTGGAATGAAGGCTGCATGTCCCTTTGAATCACATTTTAATTTCATGAGATTGTTATTCAGAACACAGTGTATCTTTGAGAAGAATATATCTTTATTAAGAAACCAGATTGCAACTTCTTAATCCCTTGGTTTATTCAAAGTTATAAAATCCATTTCATTGAAAACAGACTGAAAAAAAAGTAGTTGTAGAAGTGATTATTATAAAGACTATCACCAGAAAAGAAGCCAAACCAAATTGACAACAACTGTGTAGGTCAAATTTAGGTAAGTGTTCCACCAACTACTTTTGGTGGTACATGGACTGACCCCTAGCCTCCGTATTAGGCAGAAGGTGGGTAAATCAGTGAAAATGACCCCTTCTCCAAGAGAGAAAAACAGCTGGCTTAAAAGGCATTCCTAATAGTTGTGCCCATGGCAACCCACTCCACAGCCAGCGGAATTTTAAAATGAATTCTATCTTGCATCTGTCTCTAAACTGGCTTCTCATGGTCATCACTCCAGGGAGCATAGAGGCTACAAGTGGGGCAACTTATTCATGAACTTGGTCTGGCCATTGTGCTACTTGCATTATCATTGTGCATCGGATGACTTGCACCACTATTTTCCAGGACAGCATAGACTACCCTTTTGCACAGTCTATGCTGTCCAAAAGGGAACCAGATCCATGTATTTTATGCTGTCATAGCCGCGATTGTCAAAGTATAATACTAAGTCATTGTATATAACCTTGGAGAGATGTAACACCCAGTGTAGAGAAAATATGCCAAAACAAAAGTAAAAAAGGGGCTAGGTGGTATGGCTTTATTAAAAAAGTATCCAGAATGTCTTTTGAATTAATGCATATAATTACATCAAGGCTGATCAATTTATTGAGTCAATATAAATTGGCTCCAAAAAAGATTATTGGTAGTTGCAGTAAAAATATTGCTAATAGTCACATTAAAAAGATTATTGATAGTCATATTAAAAAGGTTAGTAGTCACCGTATGAGTTTTCATGATGACGAAATTCCATCTTTACTAATATCAGCAACTTAATATATTGTAACAGATTCAAGATCTGATGCATAGATCTTTTCTTGTTAGTGATATTTTATGTCATCAAATGAAACTTTTAGAATTTGATTTAAAGCCTGGTACCTAGTTTCATTTGCAAGAATAATATCATTTTGCAATTTACATTAACGTATTTAATTAATTTTAAGTTTAAATGGCCTGGCTTATTTAAAACATATTTATACCTTGCTGGCTGAAATAAAAATTCTGGAAAAGCTACTAATTTCTTCATATTTTATAGTTCACATATACTACATTCTTCCTTTCCTGCAATAATTTTAACAATTTTGTTCTTAAATATTACTACAGTCAACTTAGAAGAAGTTGCCAAATTTTTGGAATGTGCCAAACTCTGGCAATATGCCGTAATAATTCTTCATGCAACCATGTATAATTCTTCACTGTGAGTAAATAATATTGCCATTTTCACAGGTGTTTTTGTTGTTTTCCAAATTCTGGCAATTTTAATAATAATATTGTATTATTTTTAAATTTAAACTCAGTTTTCAAGTATATATTTAAATTTTCTGCAAAAATTCAGCATTCATAATGGGAAACATTGCTTTAAATCAATTCTTAAAGCAATCACTGTGATAAAAGCAAAATAAATAATAAGTCAATTATAAGTAGATTTGTTAACTGATTTTTGGGATAAATACCTAATCAAACTGTAAAATGTGAATGTATTTGATCAGTAATCTTTTGCAATTACAAGTTATCATTATTTTTCTTCAATAAAAATATTGCAGAACTGCACTGAAGTGGCAACAGTGCTATGTAAGTATCACAACTTTATTAGTTTGTAAACTCTTCTTTCTTCCTTTCTCAAACAATTGTGACATATTGCTATATTATCTAATATACAACTGCAGTTTGATATTGCACTGAAGTCCTGTTCATCTGCATAATTATATTTTTTTATGTAATACTGAGGAAGAGAAACTTCTATTTCTTTTTAAGAAAATGTCTACTAATAAATGATTTTTCTAATACAAATTTTATGCTTTTTATAAGTCTAATGTATAATTTCTCTTATTTTTTAATAGAGGAGGACATACACTTTGAGCCAAATGAATTTTATAGAAATCTTATTTTAAAAGAAAGACATTTATCACCTAGCATTCTGAATATGAACCCTGGTACAAAATTATCAAGTGTAATGGTAATTTTGCTTTTCCCATATATTTGTAATAAGAATCTGTTACACATAGACCTGTAATGTGTATTATATTAATTATTATTTATGTTATAATTAATGAGCTATCAGTTACTGAAGAACAATTGTTGTGTAAACAAGGCCTGTTGCAATAATTTAAATGTGATTCTCCCTTACAAGCATCAACATTGCTTTAAAATGTCTTCATTTGTAATTTAATAACACGTTGGATATTGCATTTAATATAATAACTATATTTCTTAGAACATTACTGCCTTGTTAATTTTATCTTCTTGAGAAATGTTATTTAGTACTTATGTATGATCCCATCAATTGTAAAAATGTCACTAGCAGCACCATTTAGTCCAGTTATGGATAAGTGTGACATAACAAGATTCATATCATCTGCGCTTTCATCTTATGTAACCTTAATTATTTCTCAATAAGCCATCTTTTGTGTTTATGAACAAGAATATAAACTAATTGTTATTACTGCATTTTTTCTTGCATTTTGAAAGAAATGATTAAAATTTGGGACCTACTTTCCACAAAAGAGCAAGAAGTGAATTATTTTCAACGTTATACGATCATACCATCAAAAAAGTGTACATTAATGGATAGAATATAGTCAATTGTATATCGCAAAAAAAAAAAAAAAAAAAAACAGTTATAGATTGGAACCTGCAGGAAGTTTGTATTAATAGTGTTCTAAACAGAGCTTAGGATAAAATTGGAAGGCCTAACAAAATAGTAGAAATCGATAAAAGCCTTTTCATGAAGTGTAAAAATGAAGCAGGTTGAATTTTGACTGTTTCCATGTTTCAGTGATGGCCAACTTTCTTGATCATCACATAAGTGCCTGTTATTTTTATTAGAAATGTATATAATGTTTTACAAATTACATTTATTGTTATTCACTAGCATGAATAGTAAATTTCAATAATATATGAAAAGAAAATGAATTGAAGGTAGATTTTACAACTCGCAGCTTTAAATATTAAATGAGAAAGGTAGATTTTATAGGAATAATAACTATGTTGAATAACTCAGTTACATTTTACTATCATAGGACAAAAATACTATTATATAAATCAACATATGGCAGTTTTGCAAACATACTTTTTTGTTTTACAAAAGATAACTGTAATAGAATATTGACTTGATATAAAGAAGCAGTGCAAATGCATTAATTGAAGATATCTTAATAATCGTAGGGATAATCTTATCCTGTTATATTCATATTAATATTACGTGATCAATAAATAAGTGACATTACTACAGATTCACATAACACACTCTTTATCGCAAACCAACATCAACTGCCAATTACTTCAGTTCAGTTCAACAAGCAACTAGTATGTTGCCACATTTATATAACATCTCCCATCTTTTGGTAGAGTCATAGGAATCATTGCATTACATAATTATCATATTTGGATGGTCGATATATATTACGACTATATACACAATCATGATTAATATTATTGCTATTATCTTGATGGTGAGGATCATTATGTATTTTGGACGTTCACTACTTATACTTTCCTCATTCTCATTACATACATCATAATAGTCTAATGTCACTAAATTCTTCTGATTTTTAGTTTTTCTTAAGTGGAATTTATTCCATGTAATTAATATATCCAATTTTGTTCTAATCCAATATGATCTAGGAGTTGAATGCTTTTTTAAAACTATAGCCAGGCTCCCATTTATTTTCCCATCTCAACCATTATCTTTTTCCCCAGGAATAAATTCAGGTCTCTTCCCTTGCATGCTTATCATAAAGATTTTAGCCTGTTTCTACTTACTCCTCACCTTTTCTCTATATTGATCTTTTACAGTTGGTTTCAATTCTGTTTGTGTAATTGGTAACCCTGTTCTTAAATTCCTACTTAATAACATTTGACTTGGTGATAAATTTATACCTGAAGTTAGAGTATTTCTATATTCCAGTAAAGCTTCATTTAATTTCTCCAATCCTGCTTTTCTAAATAAACTCTTAGCTATAGCTACCAACTTTTCTGCAAATCCATTAGATTTAGGATATCGAGGACTGCTAGTATCCCCAATCCCTTGCGAAACTCTTCATTTTCCAACTATTAAATTGCACATTATCACAAATTAATGTTTTGGGTATTCCATGTGTTGCAAATATTGATTTCAATTTACTAGTAACTTCCACTGCACTTTTATTTTTTAGAGGAATTATGTCTACCCATTTAGTTAAGTAACAGCCTATTATTAGATAACTTTTCCCTGCATACTCACAGATATCAGTACCAACCATTTCATAAGGTAAACTCAGAATTTCATGACAAACAAGAGGTTCTTTTACTGTTTGAGGCCTGAACCTATCACAAATTAGGCATTTAGAAATCATATTCTCAATGTCACTGTTAGTTCCTGGCCAAAATAGTACTTGTCAAGCCCTAGCTTTTGGTTTTTCAATCCCACAGTGAGCTTCATGCAATAATGTTAACATACACTTCCTTAATGCAACAGGTACTACAATTCGATTATTAAAAAAAAAAAAAAACTAAATCCTGTTCAACACTCATTTTTAAATTTAAAATAAGATCTTGCTTCTTTAGGAACTTTATCAGCACTCAAAGGCCATCCCTTTTGCCAATATTCTTTTACTAACATTAACCCTTCATCTTCTAATGTAGCTTTCTGAAATTTTCTTTTCTTACTCTCAGACATTTGAAGTTGTTTTGTTAGTGTATGAACAATCTCTGTCATATACATGTCTTCATTTGTGTGTGTTTCAATAAAGGAATGTGACAGTAAATCTGCAATCTGCATATACAGTCAAAAGTCGTTAATCCGGAGTCGTCGGGACTTCAGCGATTCCGGATTATAGATCATCAGTTTAAATCTGGTAAGATGGCATGCAGAAATTATAAAATTAAAAATATGAAACCGTAATTAATGAAATAAAGAACAATTGTGATCTAAAGGGTATCAAAATTTACAAAAAAAAAAAAAAAAAAAAAAAAAGCTTAATATTTATTTGTTTACTTTATTAAACATTTCTTTCAGTGTAAGTTGTTTAAGTTGCTTCGCTTTTTATGTAATAATGCATTCTCTTTAATTCTATAAACACACATAATTTCATATTCAGTTACAAAGTTCCGCTGTTCAAATCCTATAATTGCTGTGTCGAGAATACCAACTAATTTGTCAATCGAAATTTTTTCGTTTTCAATAACCTCTGTCACTTTCTTCGCTATCGGAAGCGGAATTATAATGACGAGGAATTTGATTTAAATCATATCAAAGACGGAGTACATCGAAATGAAATACTACATTTAGTAAGGAATTATAAGCCAAATAAAATAAAAACATATGCCCTGAAGAAGGATAAGTGGAAGATAAGGATAGTGCTGACAGATCAACTTCCAATTCATTGCTCACCGCGGCGTTAAAGATAAACAAAGTTAAGATAAACAAACGTTCAAGTTTAGATAAACAAAGGATATGCCTTTATCCATTTTTTGCAGCAATTCCACTTTTTGTTTTGGACTTCTAAACATACTTTCGCTTTGTAGATCCTTTACATATTAGTAATTACAAGGGCTATCCAGAAAGTAGATTACGTTTTGGAATAAAAAAATAAACAAAGTATAGGAAAAAAATTTATTATATACATCATGAAAGCCATGGCTAAAATACTACTTTTCTACATAGTCACCATACACAAATTGAGGCACTTATCGTAGCGATGTACGAGCTTGGAAATTCCTTCGTCGAAAAATTCGGCCGCCTGCGCCTTCAACCACTTCGTTACCTCTTTCTTGCAGCTGTGCGTCGTCATCAAAACGCTGCATAGCCAGCCACTTCTTCATTGCTGGGAATAGGTGGAAGTCGCTCGGTGCCAGGTCGGGACTGTACGGCGGATGAGGAAACAACTCCCACTTAAAAAGATTCAAGAACTTTACGAGTGACATTTGCCGTGTGGGGCCGGGCGTTGTCGTGAATCAACAAGATCTTTAGAGCTCAACATTCCTCTGCGCTTGTTTTGAATTGCTCTTCTGAGTTTTTGGAGAGTTTGGCAATACCTTTGAGAGTTTATTGTAGTGCCTCTTTCCAGGAAGTCCACCAAAATTACACCTTTTCTGTCCCAAAAAACAGTCGCCATCATCTTCCTTGCCGACATTGTTTTGCATGCATTCTTGGGTTTTTTGGGAGAACTTGTGTGCCCCCCACTGCATTGATTGCAATTTCGTTTCACAGTTCACATGTTTCACCCATGTTTCGTCACCAGTAACGATGCGATCGAGTAAAGAGTCACCATCCTTATGGTAAGCGTCCAAAAAGTTCAACGCTGCAGCCATTCGCTGATTTTTGTGGTCCTCTGTCAAGATTTTTGGAATCCATCTTGCACAAAACTTGTGGTAACCAAGCTTTTCGCTGATGATTTCGTGCAAACAAACTTCGCGAAATTTGTGGGAAAACTCAAAGAAAGTTCCGTTATTGTGAAATTTCGATTTTCACGGACTTTAGCATCGACTTTTTCGAGAAGTTCGGCGGTCACTATGCTGGGTCTCCCACTTCGATCTTCGTCGTGAACATTGGTTCGGCCATTTTGAAATCTTATGACCCACTGACGCACTCCACCTTCAGTGATAATGTTGTCCCCATACACTTCACGAAGCTGCCGATAGATTTCTATCGGTTTACAGTTTTTTGCAGTCAGAAAACCTTATTACTGAGCGCACCTCGCAGCTCGCGGGATTTTCAATTAACGCAAGACATTTCAAACCGTCACAGTATCTGAACAGAGCACAGCACGAACCTCTCACTAGCACGCTAGATGCAGACTGAGCTGCGCAACGCTCTGACCCCAAGATGGCCGCGCTAGCCCCGCCCCTAGCGGACACAGACGGAAACGTAATCTACTTCCTGGATGGCCCTCGTATATATCGGGAATTCTATTTGACATAATCGAAAGTTCAAGCTTACTTTTATAAAATTGCTCTAACAGTCTGCAAAAAATAATA